CCAGCCCACAATTCCGAAAAAGAAAAAAACACCAATGACAAGGAATCACACGGACCTTCGCATCTGTTGGGGAAAAGCAGACCCCAGTCGCAGGCGCTGAGTGTTTCTTTGGCCATGTTGCCTGGATTGCACAAAAAAGGTGTGTCGATCTGTTAGCATCAGTCTTGGGCATGCAAAGTCTCAAACAGAGGTCCAACGACAGAAACCAAAAACAGAAGTTTTGAAAAGAAAAGAAAAAGAAAAAAGAATTCCAATTTAATAGAGCGAAAAATGCAGTGCAGAAATAGTACCGACGTGCAGTACACTCTCATATCCAAATCTGCCACAGGGTACGGCAAACGGCCACCAGAACTCTGTGGGATGCAAAAAAGTCCAGGTTTGATTGAGTATGCCCTCTTCGTGCCTCTAACCAAACCATTTCTGAGTCTTCAGAGGATGCATTCTGGTGTGCCTCCCTCGGCTAAAAACCTGGGGTAGAGCAGGCTAGGGTTATGCTAGGGTATATAGTATACACCCTACCTAGGGTGTGTGCCTTACCCTAGCAAATATACCCTATCCTTGGAAGGCCAGGGCACGGTACACACCATTAGGTGGGGCAGGGTAGGGTTTGTAGTAACTTTGTACCCTACCCTAGCTCATATATCCTACCCTAGGGTAGGGTATATACTATATACACTAGGGTAAGGCACACATCCGACGGTAGGATATATAAGCTGGGGTAATGCACACACCCTAGGGTAGGTTATAATCGCTAGGGTAAGGCACACACCCTACCCTACCCTACCCCACCCTACCCTACCCTACCCTAGGGTGCCCAGGGTATATACCCTTCTCGTTGAACTTTTACACCCCCCGTCTTAGCATTTCTTTGTGCTGTCTTTCAAACACCATCTCAAATCCTTGATCCTTTTCTCCAAGCCACCACCCATGTGCTCCTCCCTTGTTTGTCTGTACGTGTCGATCTCATTAATATGTTGCTTGGTGACGCCAGCACTTCTAGTGAATGGCGACTCGCCTTTCTCGACTCCACCTCATACCTCAACTCACTGTTCTCAAATTCAATGCAAACACCCAATTGTGAGCCCTCCACGGGATTCCGACATACCACGCAAAACAACAGCAACAACCTAAACCTACTACAATGGTAGATTCAGGGATTCACAGATACTGGTAACGACCTGCCGAGCCTACGACACAACGCGGGTGCCAGCATTCAGGGAAATCAACAAACAAAACAATTCACACACAGCCTTGGGGCAGACCGGGGTTCAAGACCTGGCTGCGGCAAACAGATGCAACCTGAGCAAACAGATGCAACTTAAATGACGCGATCAATAAAATATTATACAAAGAAATCAAAACATAAAATTGCATAGAGCCACCAAACCAAAAAGGAGGGGTATTGTAAGAAAAGACCTTCATGTTTGGTAAGAACTCAACTCACCTTTAGTCCCCTTGAGTTTGTGTCCCAAATATTGACAGTCCCTTCATCCCCCGCGGTAACCAAGAATGATCGCCTATGCGGAGAGTACTCCAGAGCCCGAAGAGCCTAATTGCAAATGAAGCGATATGTACACACAAGAACTGTGCATGCATTAGAAATTTACCGCAGCCCCTAAGTTTTTTCCTCGTTCACCCCTTTTGCCACTTTACTACCTTTGGAGTTTTTCGTTCTTCTTTTCAATTTATAATAATAGAAACAATCTTCTTTTTTTACAGCATTGCTTCCATGATATTAGGAGCATTGGCCGCAATGGCTCAAAACAAAGTCAACACCTTTCACAAATTCCACCTATGTTCAGAAGATGCTGCAATATACTTATTACCTCGACCTTATCGCCAGCCCCATAGAAGAGGACAAACACAGTTCCAGGCGAACAAATGTCCCATGTACTTCATCCTTCGCCGACTAGAACCCTTGGTCATTATCGCTGCATCTGGACTGAAAGTTGCCCCAAATACAGCTATAATCACCATGTGTTCTATTCGGGTTAAACCAGGGTTGTTTTGAAGCCTACCAGTTGGGCCAATCGATAGGCGGACCCGTCGGCGGTCGGCAGACTGCCTAAACTTTTTATTTTATTTTTTTCTGATGACATGGTCATGTGCGGCTTGAGGAGAGCACCCAAATCCGCAATAATTTTTTTGGGGGGTGGTGGGGGTAATACTGTCTCTTATACACATCTAGATGTGTATAAGAGACAGGTATAGGGGGGTTACAGGGGTTTGTAGGGGGTTAAGGGGGGGTATGAGGGTGTCAGGGGGCGGTATGGGGGGGTCGGAGGTGTGTATAGGGGGTAAAGGGGGTGAAGGAGGGGGTATGAGGGTGTTAGGGGGAGGTATAGGGGGGTGATAGGGGGTTAAGGGGGGGTATGAGGGTGTTTGGGGGCAGTATGGGGATGTTGGGGGGTTGTATGGGGTTGTTGTGGGGGGGGTATGGGGGTGTGGATGGGGTAAGTTGGGGTTCTGGACCCAAAAAAAACATATAACAATAGTAAATAAATAAATAAACAAAAATTGCAGGGTGCCTACCAGTCGCCAACCGGTCGGCGCCGACGGCGCCTACCGTCAGCTGGTCGGCAGTCGACGGGTCCAGGGTCGCCAACCGTCAGCGTGACTACCGTGGGTTAAACTGCCGGTACATGGCCCACGCAAACTTGAGAATTGAAATCGAGCCAATCTGAAAGTTTTGGGGGCTGCCATCTTCCCCCTGAACATGACACATATGCATTGTATCCGAGTTTTAGAAAAAATAAAAAATTCGAATAGAACGCATTTGCATTGTACTCCAAAATGAGGGCTGTTCGAATAGAATACGCATGCGTTGTATTGGAATAGAAGGCAGCCTATGCATTGTATTCGTTTACAACGCAGATTCGTTATGTTCAGGAGAAGACGGGTAGGGGCCACTGGACTACAATGACTGGTGGCGCCAGCCGCAAAAGGGAAAAAGAAGTGCACCCCTGGCGGTTCAGCAAAGCTTGGCACGCAGGGAGAATCCGCCTCCGCAAAAAGAGCCTCAGATTACTGGTGGTTTAAACCGCTAGTACACGGACCCAGCCTTGCAGAAAGTTTTTGTCGCCACAAGCAAAACTCGGAGGCGCCGCACGGCCAGGTGCGCGGTTGAAAAAACAAATCGGCGGCCTCTGCAGTGGTGCGGGTTTCATGCTGACACCCGCGGGCCGATGTGTGGTGTACTGGTGCTTTAAGACGGTTTGTCTGGGTCGCAGAATTGATCCCAGGTCTGAATGTTTGCTTCGAAATAGAGCAAGACCGCAGAAAAGGCATAGACATTAGTAAATTTACTAATTACCTGCCGCTGAGGGTCTTTGATTTCTGTCGCCCTTGTTCCTGTCTGAAGGTTATGCAGTAACAGATCGCCGCTTACGCTAATTGACGCAAGCTGATCCTCTTTCTGATTATACATTGCACCTGTAATCAAATCAGAGTGCCCTTTCAAGGTCTTTATACACAGCTTTTTCCTGGTGTCCCAAACCCTCAACACCTTCCCTTTTCCCCCCGTACACAAATACCGCGATCCTTTGCTTAGACACAGCGCATGAACCGCATCCTGCATCAACAAAACACACAATGACAACACACAATAGCTTATCTGTGAGACGAATGGCAAGCGAGTCGTGAGACGGATCACTATAAGCACAACAACCGAAATCCCGCTCAATCAAGAAGGAACATACTATGCCAGGACATTTTGATTTCTTTTGTTTTGCTTTGTTTCGTAAAACGGTGACAGCCTTGAGATATCACCTTTGAACACATCGGCCCCAGGTAAATTCGGAGTTGTTTTACTCGTCTGATTCCATAGGGATTCGAACTCTGGTCTGCATTTCAACAGGTCAGGGGTGTACCAACTGAGCTATGCCTGTTGGTATAATTGGCAAGAAGGTTGAAGAAGCTAAATTTCGCCCAACCGAGAATGGATGCATGTCGCTAAAAATAGAAACGTTGATGGCGCCAAACGCTTCTCTCCTTTCTCAGGTGAAATCTTTTTTTGTGTGTTTTTCAAGTTTTGTTAATAACAAAAACAGGTCCTTATGGCCCTGGCTCCGTATCCATTCTGAGGGGCATGAGTCCGGTTCCTATTCCACCGGCAAGTCAGGTATACAACAAGGACACCCTCACACTTCCTTCCCGTTTGGCCAAACGACCCCTGTGCGGCATTGTTTGCTCCAGATGTCTGGAGGGATCGACTGTCAGCTTGCCTACTGGTCGCAAGAAGCTAAAATTCCGGCCGATCGAGAATGAACTCATGTCGCTAACAAAAGACAGGTTGATGACGCCAAACGCTTCTCCTTCCTTTCTGAGGAGAAATCTACCACCAGCATCTACCAGCAGCTACCTAAAAACGCCTGGCAATGAACAAGATCGCTACGAAAAGCTAAGGAGAGAAAGGTCGACGATGCCAAACGCTTCAAACGCATCTCTTCTTTCTCGGAGAAATCTACGAGCAGCTAGACTACCAGAGTGGCCCGGGACCACTTGCCCGGCCAGGCCAAAAGAAAATAAGAAAAAAATAGTTTTTTTCTTTTACTTTTTTCTTAAAGCTGGTAAAGAATTTCGATTTGAGCCTGAGGCAGGGTTGTGTTTTTGGGTTCACACGTTTTTTGTCTGTAGAGGACAGATGCTGGGTAGCCTCGTTTTTGGGTCTGGACCACGTATTGTGTCGGGGGTACTGGGTTCTGACTTGGGTTTATGAGCATACCATTTTTTTGGTCTGTTGAAACCGGGTTTGACGGTAGATGACCCGTTGCGGTCCGTAACTAGGGTAGTCCGTGTTGTTTTCACAGTATAAAGGATTTGTATGGATAGTCGACCTCTGTGTAGGGACTGACGGAACTATAGCTACGCGGCTATGTCGCCTAGCGGTAGGAACGGAAGAGGGTGAGCGGTGGACGATGAGTATCGGGTTGATGTCTGGTGGGAAACCCCCTGAGGAGGCAGCTTGGCAGCTGCCGAAACGTGCGTCGGGGACGCCGTTCTCTCACACTTTGCTGAGATACTTCCTATTTTTTGGTTTTTGAGATGAGACTATCTACGTACTTTGAACTGTCTCTACGATGAGCATTTCATTGGCTGCATGTGTGTTTTCCATGTACCTATTCAACCTGAGGCAAAAGTTGTTCAGTTTATTTTTCTGCATAACATAACTTTTTTACTTTTTTTAAGTTTTTTTCTTTTTTCTTTGGCCGGGACCTTCTTTGGCCCTCGCACGACCGGGCCGCCCAGGGGAATAAGGTCATCCGGGCGACCCCGCTGGTAACCTAGATGAGCTGCTACCCAAAAACGCATGGCACTCGACAAGAATTCCAGCCACGCACTCGCCAAAAAAAGTTGACACGGCATCAACAGAATGATAGCCAATACATGACAAATCGTTGATGCGGATCGCTTCGCTCCTTTCTCGCAACAATCTACCAGCACCTACCTAAAATGTGTGACCATCAACAATAATTCTAGCCATGCTCAACAAGATTTGACCCTCCATCAACAAGAATTCACGGCCTTTCAGGCCAACACTTGACAAATCGTTGATGCGTATCTTCTTGCTTCTCTCCTCTCCCAAAAAACAGCATTTGAAATTCCATAAGAAAAGTGCTCAAGCGGGGATAGAGCAGTGAGAGTGGGTGTGTATTTTTTACCTCCCACCACCATTGCCCCAATAGACAGACTACAATGTGGATGTCCTTGGACAGCTGCTGGAACCAGCGGAACATGAACGCAGAACCACAGATCGCTGCTGTCCTCGTGCCTTTCCCCATTGCATCCAGCTGACCTCTCGAGGGGATTCGAACACTGGATCTGTTTACTAACAGTTACAAGTTACATGTGCATGTACCATTCAGCTATCAGGAGCAATTGCATCTTTCTGCTTGTTTTTTCTTCTTAAAGATTTCCTGTGCAGACAGCCGGTGACGATATATACCCAAATTGTGTGTGTGTGTGGGGGGGGGGGGGAGAGGGGGGAGAGGGGGGAGAGGGGGAGGGAACTCCCTGTGCAGACTGCAGTTCATCTATCCACTCTGGGCTCTTTCACTTTCTTAACTTTTTCTGTTGCTTTAGAATTTGGGACATGCCGATGCAGATCGCTCCACTGTTTTTCCTTTTTCTTTCCTTTTAAGGGCAGGCAGACTTGAGGTATCGTCATTCAGCTGACCGGCCCAGGTACTCTAGCCATCTGATTACATCTGGATTCAAACTAGGGTTCGTATTTTAACAGTTCATGGGTATAACAACTGAGCTGCCGTCTTCACCCAGATAAAACGCCCGGTCTTTATCGCTGCATCTGGTCTGAAGGTTGCCCCAAATACAGCTATAACGACCGGCCGTTCTATTCGGGTGAAGACGGTAGGCATCGTTGGAGATCGCTCCACTGTTGTTGCCTTACATCCTGGAATATCTTTCAATCGTCTGACAAAAAGCGAAGATAGATGGTTGCGTTCTTAAGCTGGGCACGGCCAGGCCTTCAATACTCATCTTCAGCTTCTGGAAGTACTACCGTCTTCACCCGAATAAAACGCCCAGTCATTATAGCCGTATTTGGGGCAACCTTCAGTCCAGATGCAGCCATAACGACCGGGCGTTCTATTTGGGTGAAGACGGTAGGTGCTGTTGTAATGGAGCTGGTAAAGGTGATGGTGAAGTGAAGCACGGTTGCAAAAGACGAGTTATATATCTGATTTTCGCATTCCGAAAAAGAGAAAAGAAAAGAGAAAAACGGAAAAAAAAAAAGACAGAGAGAGAGAGAGAGACAGCTCCATCCAAGTTCACGCAATTTGATAATCCCGAAAAGAAAAATGAAAAAAAAAAAAAAAGGTATGAGTATACCCGTAGATTCTGATGAGAAAGCAGCAGCTATTTCTAACAGCAACTTACGTCCATATGATCCGGCTCGCTGCCATCAACAGGGAGAGCACCCATGCGGCCACCATTCATCTTCCAGAGGGTCACTCTCTTATCATCTCCCGCGCTTACAATCACATGATCTGATGCATCACCAGAACATACGACGAATCAGAGCACTTATACAAAGGGTACGCAAGCAAAGCAGGACATGGAAGGGGGGGGGGGGGGTTCCCTCCACTGACGGACAGGCGTTCGACGTTCTGGGTCTGACAGACCCCCCTGCGTCGGATATGTGAGCCCACTGTTCCAAATGGGGATCTTCTGCAGAAGGGGGGGGGGGGGGGGGGGGGGGGGGGACATCTCATTTGCATCCGTCCAGACTCCATTGGTATTGCCCCTGCAGATCTACAATGTTAGCCTAACAGATTCTATCCCCCAACCAGTGGATTATGGAGCCCCCACAAAGTGGGTTATGACCCTCCCCATCCTCCCCGCCTGCATAGTGGATTATGGAGCCCCACAGAGAGGATTACGACCCCCCCCACAGAGTGGATTAT